CTCCAATCAGTAGTCAGTGCCTAAGCACATGGAAACATTCAGAATCAAAGGAGACTTAGAAATGGGTCTTTTTCTGGTATAAACCATTCAGGATTATTATATAACACAAAGAAAGTAGAGACTGGGCAAAATACTAGTATGCACAGTCTCTTTGTTTCTCAGATTCTGTGTTTGCATGAAGATATTTTCAGGAACCCCTCAGAAATAATAACACAGCACAGACAAGCAGAAAAGCCTTAAATAGGGATCTAGGAAGCAGGGGCTGGTATTGGGTTACTATTTCTGGTATGACCTTAGGAAAATCCTATGGACTCTGAAAGTCTTAAAATCTTCCTGCATCTAATGAAGGTATTAAAACATGTAGTCTTTAAGACACATGAAAAATTTTGGAAATAYAGTAGTGAAAAAATAAAAAACAGATATGACTTAATTCTGATGGACCTCCAGGTTGAAAGAGGAAGACAAATATATCAGACCTTAAAAAGTGATTTACAATTTACTCTTTGACAGGAAATAACAGAGGTTCTACCTTTTCTCCCACATTACCTTCTGGCCAACCCATCTGTAAGAACAGGCCTTTCTGAGAGAGTTTAGTCCTTTATGACTCCCTGCACACCCAGAGAACACATGTACATTTTCTGCTAGGAGACCTCCTGTACCTACCATTTTTCTGATTCATGGATCAATGACTGCCTTTGTGRGTCAGGAAAAGGCTCCCTGATTTAGACATCAGCTCATAATTTGCTTTCACACAACACTTTTTCCACTATGTCATTGGCCTCGGTGTTTCTTAGGTTTGCTTCTGCTAGATTTTACATTTGTTCACAATTTGGAATGCTATCTGGACATAAATGGGGGTGACTTCTCTGCTTTTCCATCAATCTGTAATTAACAGTGTTGATGTGGTCAAAACAGTAGGGCCTGTRSTAGTCTTCTGGGTAAAAACCACATRGTTTGAGATCACAAATTCATTACTCATCTTTTTKGTAACATAATTTCATCCTCTATAAAATGGGAAAAATTCTACTTTTTACCTTGTAGGTTCTTCAGAAAATGAAAGAGAAAATGCATGGTAAATTGTCAGTTGGCTGTTTTCTACCCAGATGTGAGCCAGTCTACTTTTCAAAATGGAAATGTTTCTGTTCATCTCACTTCATATTCCAAGCCCTGCAATTTTCATACTTTCCTGACACAGACTTTCACACCAAAACTTCCAGCTGAAAACCAAACCCTATTAAGAACCTCTTGGGAAAAAGAACAGAAAGTGCTTATATTCTATACATCAAATTTGTAGCCCTCCATATAAATTCCCTTACTACCAATACCTTTTTTCCGAAGCACAAGCACCTCACCCTCAATTACTCCCTCTCTCTCTGCAATTTTGAGTAATTCAGCAAACACAAATCCTACCCTAACACACTACAGGAACCTCCTGAGGTTATGAATGTATAGGCTTCTATCCTTCAGGAACACAAGAGATATTGGGAATCAGAGTGGAACAGAAATGAGGAGCCTCTCTCCAGGTCAGTCAGATGTGTTTTTGAGAGTCAAGGCTTCCCTGCCGTGTTCACCAGTTATCTGCTGTTCTCTCTACTTGGGCCTGTGGATTRCATCACTGATACCCAAAAGTTCTCCAAATCGATTTTTAAACTATTTTTTTTCAGTACTGGGAAATAAGTGTAGGGCCTCATGCATGCTAAGCAASTGCTCTATCAGTGAATTATACCCACAGCCAATTTTTTTACACACACTCCCGCCTCCGCCAGCAATGCTGGAGATCAAACCCAAGGCCTTGCACATCCAAATATTTTTTAACATGCATTTTTTCAATAATCYCAGGGAAAGCTTTAGTCTGAAGATAAAGTACCTCCATCCTTCTTGACATTTTCAAAATTTTCTTCCTCTGAATCTCTTCCTCAATGCTTTTTCAATTACTTACAGAGAGAGATCAGAGAAGGTGGGATGGGAGAGGCTGATATGTGAGTGGAAATTGGGAAAATGCTCAGAAACATCTCAGTGCAGGATCATATTTCAAACTGCTCTGTTCTCTGATTTGTCCACAGTCAAAGGTGCTGTCCTGCATCTTCATAAGCTTCTCTTGTCACCAGCTTTTACTTCAGCTCCTGTAGTCATCTCCTGATTTAAAGGACAGAGAAGAGTCCTCTGATATCACTCAAYCTCAGGAGGGATCTCTACATTCCAGACAAATCAGTCCTCCTCCTTGATACAGTAAAATGGAAGAAAGGTAAGGCTATATTCTACTAACTCTTATTTCCTAACTTTAAGGATTTGGCATAAGTTTACATCCACCTTGGGGTGCTACATGCAGGAGTAATAGAGCCTGGTATTGTACATGGTTATTCTCAATGYGGTCAACCAGGCCATTCTTCCTCTGATTCATCTCCCCACATTATCCTCTTTATTCAAGTCATGCAYATATGTTATCATGGGGAAATATTGTCTCTTACATCCATGTAAGAAGCAAGCTGACATATAGACATTGTGTCCCAGAGCTGAGCTGCTGTCCAACAAGGCTGCTGTCAAACTTGCTTTTTGAAGTCATTCCCTTTGTTTATTTGAGAAGTTACCAGAAGGAAAAGGTYAGCCCAAACTGAAATAATTGAGGAGTATCTCTTCAGTGAACATTTTTACAATTATAGACAAGGTTTAGGGAAATTAACAAAGCATGGTAAAGCATGTTAAGGCAAGCGGTATTGAAACTCTGATAGGGACAARGGAGGAAGCAGTTCCTGGAGAGAGAGAGCAGAGCCACAGCTAGTTGTAGCAGCAGGAGAGGATGACAAGCAGCACCTCCATTGCAACTCACAACCTCACAGGCAGAGAGCCAGGAGTGAAATATGCAAACCCTCCTCATGCCCTCCATCTTCCRATGGGGTCTKCCAGYGAYTCTAAAAACAAATACTGTGTGAAGTACTCWTYGTGGGAATACAGAGRTTCTAGTTTTCCTCCCACATSCTCTCCTGGCAAATGAGAACTATGGGAGCTTGTCTCCTGATGACAGTTCATCATAGGTRCATTCACTTCTGGGTTCCTTTCTGCTCTCCCAAGGGAGGATGTGTCCTCTTTCCACTTGGTGGCACTTGTACAGGTGAGTTCTCTGGATTTCAAAACCATGGCTGCCTTTGTTGGTGACACAGGGGAGCTCCTGGATCTGCAGGCTCTTCCTCTCTGATTTCTAAACACCTTTCTTGCCCGTGCTCTTTTTWAAATTGACTTCCTTTCCCCCTATTTCTGGAGTTTGTTTATGCTAGATTTTATTTAACTCACCATTTATGATAGTCATTTGAATTTAACTTGGGAATTACTTCTCTGCTTTTCCCCATCAATGTATAATCAATAGTTCGGTGGTCCTGAACAGTTGAAGATTTAGACCCTGAAGCAGCACAACATCACTGGATCCGGAGAAATCATCTATCCTCTCTGTGCTCCAATTTCATCCTMTATACAATGAAAATAATACTAATTCTTACCTCATAGGCTTTTTAGGGGATTGAAAGAGAAAATACCCATGAAACTCTCAATTAATCACCTGGTGTTATTCACCTAGATGTGAACTGACCTACTTTCAGCAGTAACAATATGCATGAACATTTCTATTTAAATTCCAAATCTGCACTTTTTCTACGTTCCCTTCAAAGTCTCTTTTCTTCTTGCTTTCATCCAAAAAGCWTACTATAACTAAGACTTCTTGGGGGAAATAAATCAACTATGYTTTTAGTGTATGCCACTTACTGGGCCTCCATGTAAATTCTCATACCTCTCTCAAATGCACTCATACCTCACCCTCCACTTCTCCTTCTTCCTTTATATTGCTGGTTCAGCTGGGAGGAAAACTAGAGCCTCTGTATTCCCACAMTGAGTACTTCACACAGTATTTGTTTTTAGAKTCACTGGCAGACCCCATCAGAAGACTGGAGGGSATGAGGAGGGTTTGCATATTTCATCCTGGCTCTCTACCTGTGAGGTTGTGAGTTGCAATGGCGGTGCTGCTTGTTCAGCTCAAACTCCAATCCTACCCYTTCACTGTGCACCACAATGCTTTCAAGTGCTCAGCAAGGTCACTTAGAGTCCTCACTTGAAAGGTACAGTGGTGGTCAATTTCSGTTATTTGTGCACACAGTGATTCCAAACACACAGATMTATGCACAAAAAGTATCATGATAAACTTTTCTTCATGTTCTTTTACTTGAGTTTTCTAATACCTATAATTGTATTTTCAGTTTAATTTTTCAATTTAACCAAATCTTCCACTCACATGATKATCCTCTTTAATGCATCCATTCAATGATACCATAGCGATAACAGTGTCCATCACACAGACTTTCACACCAGAGAAGTAAATAGTTTTTCTCTCTGGTGGCTGACATAATTAGCCACTTTTGCCCACCAGGCCCAGCCATCCTGGTACCTGTCCCAGAAAGCGGTCACATTTCCCTCATGTCTCAAAAGCAAAGTCTTCTTCTTTTTTTTTCTACACAGATAGAACCCTTTTAGTCATAGTTGAGATCCAGGATCAACTTTATCTTTTAAAAATTCTGTACATGAGTGTGTATATCTGGCTCAGGACAGGGTAATACCTGGCTGCACAGGGAATTCCTACTATCTGAGATCCTATCCCAGAATTTCCCTTCCTTGAGAAATTGTAGGGATGTAGCAAAACCTCTGGAATAATTGATGTCCTCAGTGCATGGCCATACCCCAGGGTATTCCCCTGTCAGTAGAAGATCTGTGCAGCAGTGGACAGAACTCAGCATTTAGAGTCAACAAAACTTTGGTGTGATTCCAGGTTCCAGTCTACAGCTTTTGATAGGTTACTTAAACTCTCCAAGCCTCTTTTTCCTTCCTATAATGCAGGATATTAGTTCTCAAACCGCAAGGTGGTCCTGAAAATCAGAAATTCTGCATCAGGCACTCATCTCTCTCTTTTTTTTTTTTTTTTTTTTTTTGTTCCCAGGGGCACCACTGGAATGTTTCTGACCATGAATACAACAGTTCCAGCCTGGATAACCAGAGCCATAAAACTGATTACAATTGTGACCAGTTCTTTAAATCTTCAGAATGTGACCCGGATCCTATTCTGGCTGACTATTCTCATTGCCTTCTTTGGGATTGCAGTAAATGCAGTTGTGGTCTGGCTCCTGGGTTTCCACATACACAGAACCCCCTTCTCTGTCTACCTCCTCAACCTGGCTATAGCAGACTTTCTTTTCCTTTGTTGCTATGTTATAGTGATTCTGCACCCTTTAATCAACATCTTCCATTTTATGCTCACCCAGATGTTCAAATTTTTTATCATTATTGGGATCTTTGCCTACATTGCAAGCCTGAGCATGCTCAGTGCTATTAGCATTGAGCGCTGCCTGTCTGTCCTGTTCCCCATCTGGCACCACTGCCGCTGCCCAAGACATACATCAACTATAATGTGTGCCCTGCTGTGGGCCCTGACACTACTGCTGAGCTTCTTGGATGGGAGTCACTGTGGTTTCCTGCTTATGGAGATGAATGTTGCTTTGTGTCAGACATCTGAGTTCATCCTTTCTACATGGCTGCTAGTTTTATTTGTGGTTCTTTTTGGGTCCAGCTTGGCCTTGCTGGTCAGGATCCTCTGTGGCTCCAGGAGGAAGTTTGTGACCAGGCTGTATATGACCACTGGGCTCACAGTGTTGGCCTTTCTCCTTGGTGACCTACCCTTTGGCCTCCAAAATTTATTAATRTCATTGTTTCACATTGATTTAGATATATCATCTGGGTATGCCTTTGTAGTATCATATACCTTATCCTCCATTAACAGATGCACCAACCCCATTATTTACTTCTTTGTTGGCTCCTTTAGGCATCAGTTTCAAGGACRGCAGAACCTCAAGCTGATTCTTCAGAGAGCTCTGCAGGACACACCGGAGGATGATCAGTGTGTAGATCCTCCTTCTCGGCAAGCCTTACAGATGTCTGGAAGGACAGTGGGACACTAAAGAAGAGCCTCAATTTGATGAGACAGATTTGCTTTGAAGTCATTCTTGGCACTAGATCTTAAATTACTTAAAAAATAATCCTCCTAAAAATTAAGTGAGACAGAACCTGTTAAGCTGACTTCAGGGTTTCTGGAACTGCMTTACTCAAGGTGTCACCCCATCCCCTGTGAGCTTCACCAACTCACAGGTCAAAGACCATTTCCCATGACAGATCTCTCCTTCAGAAGATGCTGCAAGCAGTGCAGAAGAGGCCTACACTTCTTTGGTCACTATAACAGAAAGAGACTATGAATAGTAAAATTTGATGAGTTACTTTTTCTATTGTCTACATTCTCTGTTTCAAAACAAACAATGAATTAAAATCTGGCCCAAAAGAACATTCTTCTTAAATTTTGGTAGACTTTAGTATATCTCCCTAGCTTAACATGGGTTTTTTGGTATAAAATGTCTTTTTAAAAAATATTTTTTATTTGTAGTTGGACACAATACCTTTGTTTTATTTATTTATTTTTATGTGGGGCTGAGGATCGAACCTAGGGCCTTGCATGGCAAGGTGAACGCTCTACCACTGAGCCACAGCCCTAGCCCRTATAAAATGTCTTAATGAATAAACAAACCTCTTAATTTTTAAATCAAACCTGGACTATGTTCTCCATTTAGCAGAATTGAGACACCATCATTAAATGTATTGCTTTCAGCATTTCTCAACTATTTTGTGCAGTAAGTTGTAGTTTATGAATGGATAATAGATAAATCAACAACCATGCACTGGCAAGTTCTAAGGTCAACTTTTACATGTCCTTCATTAGCATCCAGGTACATCCCTTCCACTTCCCTCCCTTTTGCCTTTAGAGATTCTTCAGAGCTTCCCCTCTCTGGAGGCTAATTCCTCATGGCAGAGACTTACCAGATGATTGTGTTCTTGGGGACAGGGCCATTCAAATTTACCTTTTATTCCAAAGAGATCATAGCATTTCTTTATTAAATGCACATATATATATTTTGCTCCATGTTCTATTAGAATATTTTAATTTTAAATGTTATATTACTTAATAATTTTTATTATTTTTAATGTGCCATTATTAAGGGTATGTGATGTAGAAAGAGGATATGTATGCAGCTGATATTCCTTGGTGAATGAAACACAATCAAGGCACAAAATTTTTATGTCTCTGGAAGTTACCTTGTACTGCTTCTAGTCATTCCTCCTGCCCCTAGAGGACGCCATTGTTCTGATTTCCGTCACCCAATATGAAGTTTGTCTGATTTAACTTTATATATTTAGAAACATAAGTTATCTACGTTTTTCATTTCCAGCTCCTTTGTTTGGCATCATTTTGGGGGGATTCATTCTCTTCACTTCATTTCTTATATCAGTGCTATACAGTTTAGTATATTTTTTGTGTGGTATCATTTCATGTTGATTGATATGTATCATCTTCAAATTTTAGCTGCTCTGAATGTTCTTAATCAAGATTTCTTTGTGAACATATAGTTTTGTTTTCTTGGATGGACAACACGGAGCGAAGGACGGACAATAGGCCAATGAGGACCTAATTATGTGAGAAATTTCTCAATTGCTTTTCAGTCAGATTGTAYTAATTCACATTGTACTAATTCACAGTCCTGTTGCTGCACATGCGCCCAACATACATGCATGTATTGTCAGTCTTTTGAATTTCTGCTATTCTAATGAGTGTGAAGTGGTATTTCATTGTGTTTTAGTTTGCATTTTCCTAATGAAGTATGAAATTCAGCATCTTTTATGGACTTATTGGATACTCATACTGTTTTTGAAGCATCTACTTATTTTTATTTCCCGTTTTCCCTATTGACTTTTAGGAGTTTTTATGTATGAAAAATGTAAGTCCTTTGGTATTTATGAGTACTGTCAACATTTACCCCATTTAATAGTTTTCTAATTCATTTATATCCTTTTTAGATCCAATTTAAGTTTACAGAGAAAAAAAAACTCAGAAGGCACAAAGGCTCACTTATATTGCCCCATCCTTATCCTATACACAGTGTCTCCCACCATTAATATTTTTCACTAGAGTGGTATAATTCTAAAGATTGGTGAAAAAATATCAATACACTATTATACACTGACATCCATAGTTACCATTTAGTGTCACTCTTTGTGTAATACACTTCATAGATTTTGACAAAAGCAGATTAACATGCATGTAACCAATACAATAATAAACAGAATATTTTCTGCACTAAAGTACATTATGTTTGAACTATTTTGCACATACTTACCTCTAGAACTCCAGGCATTTACTGACCTTTGTACTGTCTACCTAATTTTGTTTTTTCCAGAATTTTATTTATTTATTTATTTATTTATTTATTTATTTATTTATTTTTGGTTATCAGTATGCAGTAGCACTTTTCATACTTCTTTCACCTAGCAATATACAGTAAGATTCCCCTATATTTTTTTCATAGTTTGATAGATCATTTTTATGGTTAAATAATGCATCATTTTATAGATGTTCCATAGATTGTTTATCTATTCATCTATTGTATGGCGTTTTGATTACTTGCAAATTTTGGCAAATGTGTCAAGAGCTCCTCTACATATTTATTAAATGTTTCTGTGTGGACATAAAATATTCAACTCATTTGTGTAAATCCATACAGTATGATTGGTGTAATTTATGATAAATCTCTGCTCTTGTATTTCCTCAATGTATGAGATTACTCTTGCTCCACATCCTCACCTAAATTTGATATAGTCAGTGTTTTGGATTTTACTCATTTTAGTAGGTGTGCTGTAGTATCTAACTTTTTTTTTAAAAAAGTTTTCTACTGCATATCAACATAAGTATTTTTCCTACGTGCATTTTCCATCTGTGTGTATTATTTTGTGAGGATTCTGTTGCAATCTTCTGACCATTTTGTAATTGGGTTATTTGTTTTCTTATTGTTGAATATTTGGGGTTCTTTGTGCATTTGGATACCAGTTCTTTTGAGATGTGTTTTGCAAATATTTTCTTCAGAGAGGATGCCTGTGATCCATGGCTTCTCTTCCAGAAATACCTGATCAGAAGAGGGACAGTTGAGTGTTGGAGAGGAAAAGCATGCATAAAATGTTAAGATTTGAATTAAGACAGTTCCTTTCTTAAAATAGCACTTTACCATGTATAAAATCATTTCCTAATAATTGTCTATTTTGATTATTTGATATTCCTAATAATCCCTTGTGTGGGTAAATTTAAGACAAGAATTATTTATAATAACAGAGATGGAGAAAAGGAAAAGCAATCCAAACTCATCATAATTATCGGCACAGGAACTACTTAGGAAACATTACACAATGTGGAGGTTTCGGCTCTTGTGCCAGTCCCAGTTGGACTGGTAGAGACCGTAGAAAACTGCCTTCAGAAGAATTTCCAAGCTCCTGACAAGCTCAATAGGAAAACCATGTCCCATGACCAATTAACTATGTCTGCCATGGGTAGAGTTTGGGAAGTTTATACGAAAATATGGAAAATGGTAGTAGTAAGAAATTAGGATGGAGAGGTAGGTAGGAGCCAGAATGTTCAATGTCAGAGGGCTTGGAATATTTATTAGACTCTATTTCCCATATTTATCAGAGGTTCCAAAATGCATGCAAATTAAAATAATCAATAAGATGACATTAAACTATGTGACCTGTCTGCCCAGATGTTTAAAAAAGGCCTGGGTCTCTAACAATTGAAAGTGAAAACTCAGTGGATGAATTTTATAACCACTGGAACCCTTTTGTACACCCAGAGACTTATTCCCTTCACTCCCCTGCTGGATGATTTTAAGTTTACATTAGAGGAAACATGAAGAATGGAGGTTCCTGACCTGAGGGCTGCAGTCACAACAAGGACATATCTTCCTATCCCTTGCAGCTTTCTGGGGGGTCCCCACTAGCAGAGGGTAGAACAGATCAGAATCCTGTCCTCACTGCACATTTTCACAAACAAKGTAGTGTTCATAAGAAATTCATACAATAACATAAAACAAATAGTTGAGTAAATCACAATAGAATCTTCTATTTTAAAGCCAGGTGAAACAAACTATAGAATATGTTCATCTTTTCTAGTTTGATTGCTTGCTCTTTATTGTTTCTGACATTTGCTCCATCCATCTTTAAAAACTAAAATCTAATATTATGTTTTAGATTTTGCTTGTTTGTGTTTCTTCTCTTTCCATGTGTTCTTGACACTGAACCCTGGCACTGGAGCTACAAGCCCGGTTCAGAACAAAGACTTTGGAACAGACCCATGATTCAAGTCCAGACTCTACCACTTGTTTGCATGAAACCTGGGAGCATATTAATCAATTTCTTTATGCTTCAGTCTCCTTATGGAGTATATTGGAACAATATACCTCACTGTGGCCTGARGAGGATTACAAGAAGTTCTACCTGAGAAGCACCCAATCAGATGTTCCTGTTCACCCCAATGTGAGCTTGATGAGCATCTGTGTTTTCATTCTAAGCTCTGCTCGGTGCAAAAATGGGCATCTGTTTCCAATGTCTTCCTTAAGGAATCTCCCTTACAAATGCTTTAATCAACAAAGCAAATTGTACTGAAACTCACCTAGGGAATGCCAAGGATTTAAATTACATGCCTTGATGAAAGTCACTTAATAATCTCCCCAATATATTTCCAAACTTCACCTTCTTCTAGTCAGTTCAATTATAATCTCTCTCTCTCTCTCTCTCTCTCTCTCTCTCTCTCTCTCTCTCTCTCTCTCTCTCTCCATCAATCTCTCCCTCCCTCTCTCTCTCTTTTCCAAAAATTATTCTCTTCTAATATGTAGAGCAATTCACATAAGACTTGTAAGGTCTCCTTAAATCATGGGCATAAACTCTTCTCAGTGCCATGCACTAACCAATCTAGCCATGCACTAACCCTCCCAGATTGAGGATATAATTGTGACCTCCATCGGCTATCTCTACAGACATAAGGAATTCTTATAAATATGCCAGCCAGAGCTTTCCACAAAAGGAATCATGG